CCGCCCCCCGCAAACCCGGCCCGGGAGGGCGAGGAGACTCGGGAAAGCTGAGACATGGCGGGGCCGGGCGGAGGGAGGGGCGTCTTTGTTTTGTTTTGTGGTTTGGGGGGGTGGGAGGTGTGTTTGGTTTTGTTTGTGTTGTTGTTTTAACGTGGGGTTTTTTTGTGTTGTTCTTGGTTTGTTATGTGTTTTTTTCTTTTGAGAAAGGGGAAAATAAATCTGCTTCCTTGCGTCAAACAGAAAGCTGTTTGAACGGCACGGGAGGGAGAGACCACGTCCGAGCAGCAACCCGCGCAGAAGCAGGCAAGACAAAGCTCCCTGCCGGAGGAGGTACCTGTTGTAGGGGGTCCGGAGGAGCAGGGCCTGGCTGCTCGTGCAGCTGTCGGTGGGGGTGTGACAGCCGTACACCGGGGGAGGCACCGAGTACTGCTGGTCCCCTGCGGAGAAAGCAGAGAAGAGTTAACCCCTGCGGCGATCGGCCGTTCCCCCCCAGTGCCCCCGCCCTGAGCTGCAGAGGGGGATGCGAGGCCCCGTCGTCCAGCGTTTGAGCAGCTCTGGTTCTGTGCCAGGCCCGCTGACGGGCAGCGGCGCGACTCCGGAGCCGCTCTGGATTGCCGGCCCGCGCCCTATGAGTGAGTGGGTCCCCTCCGGCCACGAGCACCCCGCGGAGGCTGAAATTACCTAGTGAGGTCTGCTGGCTGATGGGGTCCTCGTGTTTGAAGGAATGGTTTGTAAACTGAGCGGTGTGGTGAGACGGCGTGTGGCCGTAGCTCGGGGTCCCGTCAAACGCCACGGTGCTGTAACCTGCAGAAGAGACCACAGCAGGGTTAGCAGGAGCTTTGAGCCCACTCGGCCACCAGCTTCTCCCAAAGCGTCTGAGAGCAGGCGTCAAGCAAGAAGACCCCAAGCCCGGCCGAGCGCCACGGGGTCCCACCACCGCGGGCTGCCGAAATGCTTCGCACTTAACCGCACCGTGTTGTTACTCCCCGGTCCTGCTGCCCAGGGTGGGAAAAAAAAGACACAGCAAGGCTGTGCCTCTTCGTTCACCTCCCTCCTCCTTCACCCCCTTCTTCCTTCTCCCCCCCTCCCCAGCACAGGCTCTTCAGAAGGCTGCGGGCGCAGGGTGGGGCGGGGGGACCCCTGTGGGACCCCTGTGGGACCCTTATGGGACCCCTATGGGACCCCTGTGGGACCCCTGTGGGACCCCTATGGGACCCCTGTGGGACCCCTGTGGGACCCCCCGCCCCGGGCAGCCCGCTCCGAGGGGCGGAAAGTCGGAAGTCTCATTCGTGTTTAAAGAAAACAGATCGGCTTCGGTAATAAAAAGGATGTTTTCATTAATTGTTGGTCATATTAACGAGGAAGATTCCCATCTGCTCAGTGTACTCCTCTGCCGTTTCCAATTTAGAAGTTACCCTTTAATCTTTTTTTTTTTTTTTTTAAAGAGCAGTTTTCTGAAGAGTCTGCAATAAAGAGGCAGAATGTTACATGCAAAAATAAAACTCCTCCTTTCAGCGAAAACTACTCTCCAAAATAATAAACAGCCTATTTTGTTTCCTACATCGAGCAGATTCAGATGGAAAGAGACCACCTCTGCTGACCCCGGGCCGACACGAAATCGTAAATCAGGTGCTCGGACACAAACTTTCATTAATGACTTGGAGCTGGCTAAACAACTTCAGCTAAAAAAGTAATTACAAAGTAATATTATCTCAGAGGCTTCTCGGCTCATCAGCATTTACCCCGAGAACCAAGCTCCTCTGACAGTCACTCTTCCAAAAAAACAAACCAAAACAAAAAATCCGAAGAGAGCTGGGAGAAGAAACCAAACGGACAACAAGCATTCCCTCCCTCACACCCCTCTCTTCGCCCGCTTATTCCAGCACGGGCATCTTCCACAGCCCCGTCTGGCAGTGGATGTGACCGCAGGGTGATTTTGTTAGTCGAAAGGGAACACTGGGGACCGTTTCCAGGCTCCTTTCTCAGTTCCCTCCGCAGGTCACTGCTTCACCACCGCCGATGGGTCCACCGGGGGGGATTCAGAAACGGTAAAATGGAGAGGTAACAAAGGGATCCGACTGTTGCTTCTCCATTTTATTCTCGCTGCAGGGAGCCTGGATCCAGAGACATTACAGGACTTAATTAACTTGCGGGATTGCTCGGGAAAATGAAGGGAGCAATGGGAAGTGAAAAAAATCCAAAGGAGTTTGAAGCCTTCATCTTCGCAATTATTTTAAGCCGTCCCTGAGACTGTGGCTGGAATAGAGGTGGGACTGTTTCGTCCCCAGCCAAATCTCTTTCACATCCCCGTCGCCCTAGGAGCAGAGCTCCTTTAGCGGCGATGCGAGCAGCGCTGACAGGCCGGTACCCTATGGGCTCCCATCCCACAGCTGTTTCTCGCTCCTTATCTACTCCCTTAGCCCTCAGGGTAGAGGCTCAGCCTTCAACTCCCTTTTCCCCTTTTCCCTCTGCCTCTTTTTAAACTTTCAGAAAAAAACCTGACACTTTCTATGTTACTTTTGGCCCGGCGCAGACTTTCGGTGACCTTCAAAACTCAGCTCGGAGCAGAACGAGGTTTTGGCCACATTTTCCGGTGTTGCCTGACCCAAAACTTCAGGAATGTGATAAGAAAGTTGAGTTCTGAACCAAGCTGCCGATAGTGAGGTCTCTTTAATTAGGGCGTTATCAGAGCCAGGCCTGATTAAAATGTGCTGAAAATAATTGAAAGTTGTACATCTGTCGGTGTACGGGGCCCGCTGGAGGCATCCAGTTGTTGGAGGAGCCCAGCTGGATGAAAGAGACAGGGAAAGGAGAAGAGGAAAATTGGGCAGAGGTTTCAAAGCCTTAGTTCCCTAACCCCCACCTCATCCCAGACTTGGCAGTAATGTCATCGCAGAGCCAAGGTAGTGTCTTTCCCACGGTCGGAGGAACCGACTCAAGAAAAAAAAAAAGAAGAGTTCAACCTTGAAAAGAGCCAAAGCAAGAACATTTTATCCATCCACGGGGAATAAAAAAAACCACCAACAAAAAACCACAACAAAACCCAGCACCACACCAGGAAAAAAACCCAACAAACAAAACAACCCTTGCCGAATTCTTCCTTGCCGAAGAAGGAGTTCGCTGCATCTCTCCGAAAACAGTTGTGCCCATGCCCTAGTGCTGCCCGTGCGGGGAGGCAGCCCCGAGCTGAAGGGAACCCCGTGTGTGTGTGCTGCACAGCCCGCAGCACAGCCCGCAGCACAGCCCGCAGCACAGCCCGAGCACAACCCACAGCACAGCCCGCAGCACAACCCGAGCACAGCCCGCAGCACAACCCGCAGCACAGCCCGGAGAACAGACCCAGCGAAACCCGCAGCACAGACC